GGCAGGCAGACATCCCCTGATGGTCCTGGACTACGAGAGGGCGCAGCGAAGGGCTGAGGAACCCACCCCCCAGTGCATGAATTTCATGCACCGGGCCTTATTAGTATAATTAATAAGTATAGGGAAAGAAAACAAGTCAGGGGAGGGAGGCAGGAGCCTACCTATGGGAAGTGCAGTGTGGCAGGACAGCAAGAAAGGAGAAGCAGGCAGGGAATGGATTAAAAAAGGGCTTATAAGTCCTTTAAACAAAAGCAGGGGTTTTATTTTTATTTTATTTATTTTTACTCCTCACCTGAGGATATTTTTCCATTGATTTTTAGAGAGAATGGGAGGGAGCGAAGCAGAGATAAACACGTCAATTGGTAGAGGCAGAGGCATGTGCCCTTGACTGGAATTGAACCCAAGACCCTTCAGTCCACCGGCCGACCCTCTATCCACTGAGCCAAACCAGCTAAGCCAAAAGCAGGGGTTTATTTATTTATTTTATTTTATTTTAAAATATATTTTTATTGATTTCAAGAGGAAGGGAAAGGGAGAGATAGAAACATCAATGATGAAAGAAAATCACTGATTGGTTGCCTCCTGCACACCCCACACTGGGGATCAAGCCCAAAACCTAAGTATGTGCCCTGACCCGGAATCGAACCGTGACCTCCTGGTTTATCAGTATAGGTCAACCCTTAACCACTGAGCCATGTCAGCTGGGCAAAAGTAGGTTTTAAACCATGCTGTACCATGGCCTGCTCTGGCAGTCTGTATAGCTTGGATCCCTTCTCAGAATAATGTTTTAAATGAATAAAATAAAACACATAGGCCCTAGCTGGTTTGGCTCAGTGGATAGAGCCTCGGCGTGCAAACTGAAGGGTCCCAGGTTCAATTCCGGTCAAGGGCACATGCCCAGGTTGCTGGCTACATTCCCAATAGGGGGTGTGCAGGAGGCAGCTGATCAATGATTCTCTCTCATCATTGATGTTTCTATCTCTCTCTCCCTTCTCCCTTCCTCTCTGAAATCAATAAAAATATATTAAACACACACACACATAGGATTACAAAAAACACACAATTATGTTGAAATTCAGTTACCATAACAGTAAAAAACCAAACCTGGCATACTATTATATGTGCTTCCTTTTTAATGCATTAAATAAGATCTAAAGATTCTTATATATATATATATATATTTTTTTTTTTAAATTGATTTCAGAGATTTAAAATTGATTTCAGAGAGGGGAGGGGACAGATAGAAACATCAATAATGAGAATCATTGATGGGCTACCTCCAGCACGCCCCCCTACTGGGGATCAGTCCGCAACCCACCATGTGCCCTGACCAGGAATCGAACTGTGACCTCCTGGTTCATGGGTGGAAGGAAGATCAACCACTGAGCCCCGCCACCTGGGCTAGAGATTCTTTAGCTCTAGGGTTTAAAAGTTATTGTAACTTTAAAGTAAGAATGAATGTAAATTATTTTTTCCAACATTTATCTGCAAAGATTGTAATGGGATATGAAAATCTGTGACTTTCGACAGGACAAAGTAACAGGTATTGTCAAAGCTACTGTGGCTTGTTGCTCACAGGAAAGATGGGAAGGGATGCTAAATTTCAGAGAGGTTATGAAAGTAAAGACGAAATGCCTTCCCCATCCCAAATCATGCACCTCTGGATTGTGATCAGGTGGCCCCAAGGTGAGTTTTGGACTTTTCCCGCGACACCAGGGCGTCGCGGTCAGAGCTGTGTGTTGGAGGCTCCCCGGCAGCCCCGGGGCGTGGAAACGCGCTGCAGACGGAGGAGGGGTGGGTGCGAGTCCAGAAAGCGGCTGCCGCAGTCATTTCGGGGCGGCGGCGGCTCCCGGTGTGACGCCCAAGGGAGCTGAGTCAAGAGGCATTCGGGTGCCTCAGTTTCCCCGAATGGGACCATGAAACGACCCACATCCAGTGCCTGGAGCTCTCGGAAAGAAGTCGAGTCCCCCAGTCTCCTTCCCACCAGCCACCCTCTCGGCCCCGGGGAAGAGCCTACGCCCTCCGGCCAGACGGCTCGGACCCAGCCCCTACCGGCTCTTTTCTTCTCCGGGCCTCTCGGGCGCTGCCCCACGCCCCAGGCCGGCACCGCCGCCTCGCGGCACCGCGCCAGCTCCTCTGCATCGCTGCCGCCGCTGCTGCTCTCCTCATCGCTCATGGAACCTCTGGGCGCCGTCATCTTGAACCACCGCAAAGGATTGTGGGAGCGCCTCCAATAGGGTTACCGCTCCACGACCCCGCGGGAGAGCGGCGACGTGCGGGGCATTGTGGGGATTGTAGTTCTCAGCCGCAGGCCGCCGATGGCCATTGATTTGTTGTGGGAGTTTCCACAAACGTAGAAGTGCCAAGGAAATCAACCGCTCCATCCTTTAATTGATGAGGAAAATGAGACAGACAGAGGGGGGAAATTGCCTAAGGTCATACCGGGGTTAATGACAAAACCAGGGTTAATCCCCAGGGTTTCTTTCAATTTAGTTTCATTTTTATTCATTTATTCCAGGAATAATGAAATCCACCTGAGAATCAGAAACAACTTAGAAAACCTGTTAAAATGCAGCCTGGCCGGCGTGGCTCAATGGTTGAGCATCAACCTATGAACCAGGAGGTCATGGTTCGATTCCCGGTTGGGGCACATACCTGGGTTGCAGGCTCCATCCCCTGTGTGAGGCCTATAGGAGGCAGCCGATCAATGATTCTCTCTCATCATTGATGTTTCCATCTCTCCCTCTCCCTTTCTCTCTGAAATCAATAAAAATATATATTTTTTAAAATGCAGATTGTTGGGTCTAACCAAAAACTAACCTAATCAGAATCTCTTGAGAGGTAGGACTCAGTCTATTTTCTCCGATATGCTAGGCCTTGCTTCTACTCAGAATATAATCTGTGAGCCAGCAGCATCTGCCACACTCAGCAGTTTGTTAGAACAGTTTGTTAGAACAGCAGTTTGAGAGTCTTGGTTCAGCCTAGACCTACTGAATCGCAACCTGCAGTCACATAGGTTCTCCAGGTGACTGGAACACACAGTAAAGTTTGGCAGAACACACAATGGCAGTTTTCTAGCTCAGGACTTCTCCAAAGTTCCACACACTGGAAACTTTTGTTTATTTATTTTTAAATATATTTTTATTGATTTTGGAGAGGAAGGGACAGGGAGAGAGACATAGAAACATCAATGATGAGAGAGAATCATTGATTGGCTGCCTCCTGCCAAATTGAGCCCACAATCTGGGCACGTGCCCTTGACCAGAATCAAACCAGGACCC